ACAAAACAATAATCCGGTATATATTATCTAATAATAGTAGGTAACAATAACAAGAAAAATGTAATGCGAGCCTTTTCATTATTCAGTCATGCTCTAATCTTCCACGTCCCTCTCTGTCTTATTTGGCTATTGAGGCTCAACTTGTCCGATTATCATGAATAATTAAACCCCTTAAGACCAAACATATGGCGAAGGCGCTTTTGATAATGTTTTTAGTTTTGGCGATAGCATTCGAGAGCATCACCAGAATTTCCAATGTGTATACAGTGTGTCTACTTAAGTTGGAACCATATGGAAAACATTTTTATTATTGATTTTGGGAAAAAAGGTATTTCTTGATAAAAAGTCCTGCATGACCCAAAACTTAAAATACAGATATCAAATTTTTCAAGCCGTATACGAGGTTTGTCAAAAAATATGAATTTTGCTCAAGAGTAAAGTACGTTTATGTTTTTACAAAATCGAACATTTTCATTAAGAAATTTGCTAAATTCTTCACAAACATCAACAAAAGGAAAGCGTATCATGTTTATAGTAGCTAACGTAATTTATAACGTTTTCAGATATTTACAATCTGTTTTTTCAGATAGATCGGTGTAATTGCATATTTGAATGTAATATTCAATTCTAATCAACTTTTCTTAATGAAAATTTTCGATTTTGTCAAAAATAAACGTACTTTACTCTTGAGCAAAATTCATATTTTTTGACAAACCTCGTATACGGCTTGAAAAATTTGATATGTGATGACTGTATTTTAGGTTTTGGGTCATGCAGGACTTTTTATCAAGAATAACTTTTTTTCCTAAAATCAATAATAAAAATGTTTTCCATATGGTTCCAACTTAAGTAGACACACTGTATAAATATTGGTGGAGGAACACGGAGCAGTGAGTCGTATACAAACAGTTGTGAAGATAAATAGTGAACAATTTAAAGACATTCGAAATATATAATTTAGAATATTTAGAATATCATTAGACTACAAATAGAGTGTTGGGTGCAGATATATTTTATGATATGGATGAGGTTTTCTCATAATTGCCGAAACAAAAAAATCGAAAGAACAGCCTTAAGGTTGAAAGGTTATAATTGAAGACAGTAATATCATCCAATTCCTCCAGACCTTATTCTCGAATAAATCTAGATAAATGAATAAACCCATGTATTCGGTAGGGATTGCATCATTCTGTAATTTTACGAAACAATTAAATGGTTGAAAATCCTGAAATATTTTTCAAAAATATTCTAGAGTTGAATACTATATTATCAGGCCATTCTAAAACGGAAATAAAATATATTTTTTTATTTGCAAGTCGAAAATATTTTGAATGCATACCTTTCTCAAATTCATAAAACTTTTATCTAAATCATGTTTGTGTGTCTTTATCACCAATAATTGAAATATCGAGCAATTACACAATAATGAGACATCATGTGTAGGTAATTTAGGTTTAGCCGACAATGTATGACCTACATTTTTGTTAAACCTTGTATTTGCTAGCCTCTTTGCGAAACATCAAACTCGTAAGTGTATAATACCGGTAATGAGAATGTACAAAATCCCATTAAATAAACATATTTGTAGTTCTATTTTCATTTCTCCGCGCTTTGGTTTCCTTCGCAAACTTGTTAGCTTGCGCTTATAACTAACCTGGTACCCGTTTTACTCCGGGTTTATTATTCTTCAGAAAGTTATTAAGAAACTGCCCTCGAGCACTTACCTACAACTTGCCAGAACTAATATTAATATAACTGATAACTCTATTACATGTTTAGACTACGT